GCCTCCCAAGGCGGCTCCAGAGACCTCTCTCAGAGGGAGCCCCAAGACGGTCGACCAGGGCCCCTAGGACCGTTCAAGATGGCCCCGAGACGGCCCAAGATGTCTTCACGACGACCGTTGGGTCCGCCAGGACGGCCCAACATGGCCTCCTGACGACCAAGGCAGCTCAAGATGGCCCCCAGGCAGCCCCAAGAGGCCCCCAAGAGGCTCCCAAGAGGCTTCATGGATGCCCCTAGGAAGCCCAGACACTTCACACACATACGGAAAGCCACGGGTTTCTGAAGACCTCGCCTCTTCTTTTCCGATGTGCTTCTGAGGCCTCAGGGTGATCCCAAAATCGCTCCAGGGGAACCCGAGAGCAGGCAGGACGCAGGAGACAGGAGAGAAGGGCAAGAAGGGAAGGACAGTGGGCGGAAGGGAGCAGCCACGGGGAGGAGGATGCAGAGAGGAGCGGAGACAGACCAGAGATTAGGGAGGGCGAGTATGGTAGGCTCGCGTGGTGTCGACTGGCGGCTACCCAACGTTGAGCGCCGCCAGCGACAATGTTGATAGCTATCTGCTATCCGAGCTTGCTGGTTTCTTAGGCATCCCCAGACGGCGCCGGCGTGAATCGCGACGTGGCCAAAAGGGGCGGGGGGGAGGGCGGGGCCAGTCAGGGGCGCGACCCCGAAGCATGTAGCAAAATCGCGGCTCCAGTGGGGAGTGCGCCCCCGAGCATCTCCAGGCGCGGCTGATGCCGCACGCCTGCGCGCTCAAGCGAGGTTCTGGAGAGCAAGGAGGGAGAGGAGGTCAGAATGGTTTCAGCTCCGTCGGGCGCTGCCGACCTCTCCGAGTGCCAGCGCAGGCAGGCATGGCCGCTGGCCAGGAGTCCTGTCTCTCCTGGGGTCCGCCCCCAGCACGTTCCCGAGCACGGGGGCGGGGGGCGAGGAGCACGAGGCGGGGGTCAGCGCAACGTCTCGCCCGAGGCGCGTCGAGAGGTTCGCCCCTCGGGGCGCCGCTCCACCCCTCGCCGGCGCGGGGATGCGGCTGCACGGGGGGCGGTGGTGGCTGCGCAGGCAGGGCTGCGGCTGGAAAGCCGCCGCGCGGCGCTGGCACTGCCAGGGGCTTCGTGCCTGCGTTGTCGGCACGCTCCGTGATGTCGGCGGTGCCCCCCCTGCTGAACTTGGCCTGGTCCCGCGTCATGCTTGCCACCCGCTGCTTTCGCTCATCCGTCCCCCCCAACCTGCCCCTCCAGCTCGGTCCCGGGTCTCGGCCGCGGTCGTTGGCAGCTTCGGGGGCGTGCTCTTCATGCTGGTGAGGTCTGTGAGCAATGCCGTGGCCTGGCGTTGTTCTGCGCATGCATCGATTATCGAAGACGACGCCTAGGGCGAATCACCGCCGTCCCCTGCCTTTGGAATCGCCCGTGTGGCCGAGCATTTTGGCAAGAGCTCTTCCAAGCTATCGCACCATGTGTTCCCCCAGCCGTTGTGGAAACTCTTCGGGGAACACTACGGGGAGGATGGCTGGGAAGATCAGGAGGAGGAGGAGGTGGAGGAGGAGGAAGAGAACACGCAAAAGGATGATGATGATGATGATGATGATGATGATGATGATGATGATGATGATGATGCTGATGATGATGATGATGATGATGATGATGATGATGACGATGATGATGATGCTGATGCTGATGATGATGATGCTGATGATGATGATGATGCTGATGCTGATGCTGATGATGCTGATGATATGATGATGAGATGATGATGATGATGTATGACTGATGATGATGATGATGATGAGGATGAGGAGGATGAGGATGAGGATGAGGATGAGGAGGAGAGGAGGAGGAGGAGGAGGAGGAGGAGGAGGAGGAGGAGGAGGAGGAGGAGGAGGAGGAGGGGGAGAAGGAGGGGGAGGTAAGGGTAAGGGTAAGGGAAGGGAAGGGAAAGGGGCAGATGAGGAACCTCGGCTTGGGTCAGTTCCAGACGCCCACCGATCAGATCACGACACAAGATGTGCCCGACGCTAACGAAGCGTATTCAATTCGTGGACGTTGGAGCACGGTCGCCGCGCACGCGCTTCCCGAAACGCTCGGCGAAAATGGGCCGCTGGTGATTGCACTTGCCGCTAAGTCCCGGGCGCTGCGTCACCTGCGTTCATCGACGAGGGGGGGAACCCGAAGAGCGGGGCCACCAACATAGCTAGCCTTGGAGCCTCTTGGAGGCATCTTGGTGGCCTCCTGCGGGCTTCATTGGAGCCCCTTGGATGCATCTTGGTGGCTCCTTGGGCCTCTGGGGGGGACTTTGGGGGTTTTCCGGGGGCCTCTCTGGCCGTCTTGGGGCAACCCTGGCCCGTCTGACGCTGTCGGAAGCCGTCTTGGAGGCCTCCCTCGGCCGACTTGGGGTCCTCTTGGGGTGCTCCAAGGCAGTCTAGGAGGCCATCTTGGGCGTCTTGGAGGCCTCTTGGGCCGTCTAGGGGCTCCTTGGGACTGCCTTGGATGCTTCTTGGGCCGTTCTGGGGCTATCTTGGAGGCCTCTTGGGCGATCTTGGAGCGATCTTTGGGAGCTCATGGGCCGTCTCGGGCCGTCGGAAGGCCGAACAGAAGCAACTGCCAAGCTCCTTCAACAACCTGAGGGACATCCATGATTTGGGCCTCGTCGGGCCCTCCTGGAGGCGAAGAGACGGCGGTGGAACAGACGAGGAGCCAGATGATGTGCCTTTCCGCCCGTTCATGCTAGGCGCCGGGACCATTAATCCCCCGGGGCTGCTCATCGCCAGCGCCGGTTAAACGAAGCACCTGATAGAGCAGCTCCCCAATCTAGGGCGCTGCGACCACGGCCGGGGAGGTCACCAGCAGCTGCTCGGAGAAGACTTCGCGCAAGGACGATTTCGCACGTCTAGGGCCCACGATTGCCCGATGCGCACGAGCCAGCTCCTCGCCAACGGCGTCCAGGAGCCCATCGACGACGAGGTCCATGTGTGCCAGGAGATGCCCGAGCTGCCCGTCGAAGTGGGGCCCTTCGCGATCTCCGGGGGCGACGTGTGGGGAGCCGCAGCGGGCGAGGATTTCGCTGGCAGGGCCCCGCTGGCCCCGGCGCCCTCGTGAGGCCAGGCGGCAGCGGCAGCGGCCGCCCCCCTCTGCGGCCTGAGGCGCCGGGTCATGGTGAGGCATGGCGCCCTCGCTGCCCATTTGTCCCATCTCTCGCTGCGGCTCGCTCGACCGGGCATCGAAGGCGCCGAGCGAGGACGAGTGAGGGGCCCCGGCGGGCCCAGGTCGAGGAAGAGTCGTCGGGGCCGACGGCGATGCGCCTGGGAGGAGAAGCTGAGACCGCCGCCACATGACCCGTCGGGGGGCGGGGCGGGGACCCTGGTCGGCAGCAGGCCCGAGCGTCGCCTAGGCGTCGCCCAGTGCAGGACGACGCTCCTCGGGCGTGCCGCCGCCCAGGGGGCGCCTCCCCCCCCCCTCCAAGTCGATGGGTTCTCTCGGTGGCGGTGTTCTTTTGCTTGGGCAGGCCGTGGGGGCACACAAGCCAGGGGCGTCACGGAGAGGCGGAGAGGGCTCCGCCGCGCAAGGCAACAGTGAAAGGTGGCCCAGCACGAGCCCGATGATGGGGCAGCAAAGCAAGCTCTGGTACAGCGCTGCGCAGGACGGGGGCATGCAGACCAGGAGGCCGCAAGGACCCACAACGTAGCAGCAGAGAACACCCCCGCGCGCGGCACCTGGCAAGGACGCGCTCGCGCGGCTGTGGTCGATAGCGCGATGGGTGGCAGCGGCTTCCCCGGCTGGGCCCGGCTGCCTCCCTGCCTCCCTGCCTCCGTCCTCCTTCCAGTCCTCGTCGCTTTCGTCGTCGCCCCCGTCACAGGAACCTTTGGTGGTTCTTGGAAACGGCAAGGCGCGTTTTGCTTTATCCCGTTTCTAAAGATTCTGGATCTTGAGAATGAAGCGGTAAAACAAAAAAGCGGTTCACCGAAATGGAAGAGCAACGGTCCCGGGATTGAAGTCGGGGCCGGAACCGGAAACAAATGCAGCGACGACATCGGGCAACACAACGGCGTTGGACCTGAGGAACAAACATGGCAAGCAGAAGCGGAACAAGGCCCTGTTGTTTCCAAAAACCACCAAGCATCGCTCTCGTTTTCAATCCTGTTTTCTTAGGCGTTCGATCATGGATCCGTTGTTAATCGCAACCATCCAACTTTTGCCGTGAAAGCGGCAGGAAACCACCAGACACCGAGGAAGACCACCGAAGACCGTCAGAAGACCGCCGAAGACCGCTAGAAGACCGCTTAAGAGTGCTTGAAGACCGCCGAAGTCCGCCAGGAGTCCGTCGAAGACCGCCCAGGGTTGGTGGGTAACAAGGGGCCCATGGTCGAACACGTACACGCTGGTCGTTGAAGGCCAGTCTTTTTGGATATCCCGATCCAGATTTTCTTCAGGCGCCCTCCTACTTCAATCATCGATCTATTGTTGCTGTTTTTGTTGCTCTTTGGGCGGGCTCGTACCCAATCTACTCTACCCGCCTTCTACTTCATGCTTCCACCTTGCCTTCCGACGGGCGGGTCATGCCGTACTGCCACGGCTGAGGATTTTACCGGGAAAATGTTACTGCAAAGCATCCAGATGTATGTTTTGGCGTTCCGTCGCCTCCGCTGCGCTCTCAGAGGGCCGCGCTCTGGCGCGAACCGCCGCGTCCGTCCGTCCGTCCGTGGCGGGCACTGTCGGGCGGGGCTGAGACGAGGATCAATCCGTTCCAGAGCGTTCCGGAGCGTTCGCGGAGCCTGCCGGAACGCTCTGAGAGGCGGCCGCGGCACCCGAGAGATCCTCCAGGGCAGCCAGATCTCAGATGTTTGGGACTCATCTTCCCCCGATGTTGTCCTCGTCCTGGCTTCGCCTCAGGTGGTGTCGTCCTCCTCCTCCTCCTCCTCCTCCTCCTCCTCCTCCTCCTCCTCCTCCTCCTCCTCCCTCCGACCGCCCGCGCGCGCTGCCCCACGGCGAGGACCTGCTCGCGCGGCTCTGCGACGCCCTGGCGCGCCTTGGCCTCCGCGACGCGCCCCTGGCCGCCGCCGCCGCCCGGGCCGTGCGCGCGCACCTGGTGGAGCTGCACGCGGAGGACGCCGGCCGCGCTGCGGATCGGTGGTTGCAGGTGAACCCCACCTCCGCCGCCCAGGATTTTCCGAGGAGGAGAAGGTACCCATACCGCTACCCCCCGCGCCCGTTTTCCCTTTTGCTGAGCCTCCTGGAGGGCCCACGTCGCCACCGCTGGATTCGCCTCGAAGTGCTGGTCAGAACGCGCCCCGGGAGAGGTCCGGGGGGTAGCGGTATCGGTGCTTTCTGGTTCCCCACAATTGGGGGCTGGGGGCTCCCTTTGCTCGGGAGCTCCCGAGCGGAGTGAGCCCCCAGCCTCCCTTATTAGGAGTCGTGGTCGGAGGGGGTGGGGGGGCAGGGCTCGCGTGTGGCCACCTACTAGCGGAGGGCGGCCGTGCCCGTGCGGGGCTCCGTGGCCCCAGCACCCCTCGGGCCATTGGCAGAGTGGCGGCGCGCACTCGAGAGGGGGCCGCGCGAGGGGGGCGGCCCTGTGAGAAGTCGGGGGAGCTGCCCAGAAGGCCCGGGTCTTCTTGGAGAGCCCTCCTGGCCTCTGAGGAGCTTTCCGAGAAGCCTCCGGGCCCTTCTGAGAAGGCCCCTGCCCTCTGAGAAGCGCGCCGCCTTCTTGGACGGCCACCTTCCTCACGCCCCCCGCCACCTCCCTTTTGTGCGCGCCGCCAAAGGCCGGGAGGCTTTTCGCTCTTTCTGGCCTCCGGGGGTCCTTGCCGGGCCGCGGGACCGTCAATGAAGCGGCTCGGGATGAAATACCGGGCTGGACGAAAGGGGGGGATAGGGAAAGGGGGGGGGGTACGAAGTCTGCTGCATGCAGCTGGTTTCAGCCCCACCGAGGGGCCCATTCCTCGATACATGGGCGCCTCCTGGCGCCAGGAGGCGCCGGGAAAATCAGCCACGTGCGCTGATTCTCAAACCCCCCTTTGCGATCCCCTCCCTTCGCCTGGCCCGAGAATACCGGCCCCCAGGGAAGTGGTCGAGACCTCCAGGGCCACGGCATGAACAGAGCCTGACGTCGACGTCGGGGTGTCTGGGGCCTTCGGGCTCCGAGGGAGCTCTCGTGCCCGCCCACGGGAGGGCACAACTGGGGCATGCCGTGTCGGTCACCATCGGCTCTGGCCCACCGCGCCTCGGCTCGACACTCGACCCGCGTCACGGTCCCGAGGCTCAGCGTCCGGAGCGTTGCCCCGCCCCCCGCCCCGCGGGCCGGAGCGAGACGCTGTCCACGCGCAGGGTGCAGCGCGTCGCTGGGGCCGCCGCGGCGACTCGTGATCCCAAAGTTCCCGGCCGTGGCCCATCTTAGCCGAGAGGCCAGGTGACCAGAAAGTTCGGTGACCGAAAACGTGCCCGAGAATGTGACCGAACACGCAGCGTGAACGACATTGAAATTCGCTCTGGTTTCGAAGCAAGAATTTCGGTCACGCCCTGGCGTGTTCGGAACATGTCGGGGGCCATTTTCGGCCACACTTGGGCAGATGTTCGGGCACGGTTTCGGTCATTACACCCCCCTCGTAGAGACGAGGCTGCGTGACAAACGCCCCGTCGGACTAGTCGACTGCGGAAATCTGCGCGGGTTCAGTCGACATTAGCATGCGAGCGTGCCAGCGCAGTCGATGTGCGTGGATCGCCAATCGATATCGCAGTCGATGTGCGCAGTCGATGTCGCAGTCGGTGTCGCCAATCGAGGTGCGTTTCGGGATCGTTTTTTTCGACGTGGATGAGTGGTTCCGCTCAGGTGCACTGCGAACGCGGTGCCGCGCGCACCCATGAAGTGCCCCAGCAGCTCTCGCTGAAGGGAGCTCTGCTGAAGGGATTCCTGCCAAACCTGGCAGCCGCGGCTTCGCGGAGTCGCCACCCAGGCCTCTCATATAGTCAAAAACCCTAATAAGGACGCGCGACTTTGCTCAGGGTACCCTTGCGTCCTTGCTCTTCCTTGCTCTTGCGTCCTTGGGGTTTTCGTCGTCCGCCGCCCCAAAAGTCCCAACTTCGGCTTCCAAGGGTCTTGCGTCCTTACCGCGCGTCCTTATTAGGGTTTTTGACTGTACTCCCCTCGCGTCGTGAAGCAAGAGCGCGACGGGCGGTTCTGGCATGTGCTCAGCTTGTGGGGGGCCTCGCTGGGCCCCAGGACCGGAACAACAGCAGCTCGGGATGGGAAGCCAGTCCCGGGGAAGGGGTCCAGACCACTGTTGGGCCACTTCTTGAGCAAATCACGACTTCGGGGTTTTCGGCTCCGCAGCATCGGCTTCGCAGTATCGCCACTAATTGGGCCCCAGCAGGGGGCCAATCCATAATATCTACATATATACACATATGTAGCACCCCGCAGTTACGGTTAAGAGTGAGGTTGCGGGCGCGGGGTGGGTCGCGGGTGGGTCGTGGGTGGGTCGCGGGTTGGGTCGCGGGGTGGGTCGCGGGGTGGGTCGCGGGTTGGGTCGCGAGTGGGTCGAAGGAGGGTCGCGGGGCGGGTCGCTGGTGGGACGACGACAACAATGCGAGCAGAATCCGCGCCGCGCCGCAGGTTGCAGAGGAGGAGGGGGATGGAGCAGTCTTTGTGGAACGACGAGATCCTCCCAAGGGCACTGTGCTGCTTGAACTACTTGGCAGAGCCCTTTCCAGGGACTCTGGGGAGGCGGCGCCCAAGGGGGCCCCATCAGGAACGAGTGACGGAGTATTGGCCTTTTCCCCAGGCCGTCAACGTCCTTAACATAACAAGACGGAGGCATTTCGCCATGTTCGGCTTCCGGGGACCGTTTTCGGGCTCGTGGGCCGCCGAAAACAACGCATTGGTTCCCCCTCTTGGCGCTGCGCCGTGGTTTGGGCCAATTCATATTCAAGCAAGGCTTCCGCTAAGGTCAGCAGATGATGCGTATGGGAGACGATCCTATCATGGTAGGCGTGCGGCCTGTGTGGTGATGGACAGAGCTCGTGACAGCAATGCCTAATGGGAGCAAGCGGCTAAGCAAGAATCCTGGGGCAGTCGAAATCGCCAGCCTGGTTGCCCCCCCAGTAGGGGAGGGGGGGGGAGCAGGCCGACAGAGGGCGGACAATCCCGGGCTGTCTGGGGGGCCAGGGGGGGCCCACGAGGCCACCAAAAGTTCGCGAACCATACCCTTGAAGCATAAGATGTTTTGACCTCCTCCTTCTCCTCCTCCTCCTTCTCCTCCTCCTCCTCCCTGTCCCCCTCCCCATCCTCCTCCTTCTCCTCCGCTTCCTCCTCCTCCTCCACTTCCTCCTCCTCCCAGTCGCCGCGGTCGTCCGCGAAGGCGACTGCTCCGACCAGAAGGACGACGACGAAGACGACGACAACGACGACGACGGCGACGACGACGACGAGGAGGACGAAGATAAGGACGAGGACGAGGACGAGGACGAGATGGACGACGACGACGACGACGACGACGACGAAGGCGACGACGACGAGGACGACGCACTGCGGATGCCCTTAGGGGAGGGGCTGCGTAAGCACGCTGTAGACGACGACGACGACGAGAACGAGGACGAGGCCGACGACGACGACGATGGCGACGGACGAAGACGACGACGAGGATAAGGACGATGACGAGAACGACGACGACGACGACGACGGACAATGGCGGCGACGACGACGACGACGACGACGCACTGCGGATGCGTTACGGGAGGGAGGCTGCGTAGGCCCGCCTTAGTTGACCACGGCAACGACGACGAAGATGACGACGACGAGGAAGAGGATGAGGGCGAGGACGAGGACGAGGACGAGGACGACGGACGACGGACGACGGACAACGACGGTGACGACGACGACGCACTGCGGGTGTCCTGATGGGGGGGGTGCTGCGTAGGCCCGCCGTAGTGGACGACGAACGACGACGACGACGACTACAACCATGACGACGAGGATATGGACGAGGACGAGGACGAGGATGACGTCGACTGACGACGACGGCGACGACGACGACGCAATGCGGATGCCGTATGGGGGGGGCTGCTGCGTAGGCCCGCGGTAGTCGACGACGGCGCCGACGACGAACGACGACGAAGACAATGGCGACGACGAGGAGGACGAGGATGAGGACCGGAACGAGGAGGACGACGACGACGCGCTGCGGATGCCCTTTGGGGGGGGGGGTGGCTGCGTAGGCCCGCTGTAGTCGACGACGACGACGACGACGGCGACGACGGTGGCGACGGCAGAAGAGCTGCCGGTGGGGGGCAGACGGTTAAAACATCAGTTCTGGCGGCTGGGCTGTACCAGTCTCTCCAACTCTATGATTTGAGGCTCCTGGGTGGAGGAGGGGGGGATGGGGTTACCTTTCAATCGCTCGCTCCCATGAAATGTTCGACCTTCTGGGGCAACGTTTTGACATCGATCTACGGCCATGCGTGTCCCCACCCCTTCCTCTTCTCCTCCCGTTGTCGTCGTCGTCGCCCTTCTCCCCGCCCCTCTCCTTCCTCTTGCTCCTCTGCGCGTCGAGCGGACATAAGCTGCACTCCTTCTGTCGGGCCTCTGTCTCCTCGTCCTCTGCTACCACGTGCAGTCTTCCCCCTCCTCCTCCAGTCCACCTGCATGGTAAGCATGGGCAACCTCTGCAAGGTTACCCTTGCATCCTTGCCTCCTCGGTCCATCCTTGGCCAGTTTCGTTGGCCGCGCCCCGCTCGAAAAGCTTCGACATGGGCGTCCGAGGCCCTTGCACCCTTATCGCGCATCCGTGCTTTACGAGTGGACTGTAATCCCCGCCTCTTCGTCTTGTTCATCCTCCCTGCTGCGCCTCCTCTCCCGCCTCCTCCCTCCCTCCTTCTCCTCGTCCTCGTCCTTTTTAGCCTCGACCCTCGAGCCTCGCTCTTTGCGAACGTTTTTTCATTGCTTTCCCCTCTGCCTCCCCCCGCGCGGCCGCCCTCGACTTTTTCGTCTCTCCTGGACGCCGGTCAATTCGCCTTTCGTCT